GCGGCCACGGCTCACGGGCCCAGCCGCTCTGCGGCATGTGGGATCTTCCCGGACCGGGGCACGAACCCGTGTCCCCTGCATCAGCAGGCGGCCTCTCAACCACTGCGCCACCAGGGAAGCCCTCCCATTTCTTTTTGCTCCTGCTTGAAACCTTCTCTCCCCACCTGTGCACCTTCCTTTTTTCTTTGCTTCACATCTTATCGTAAATGTCTTCTCCTTGGGGAAGCCTCTGAGCCTTCCCAGCCTAGGTGAGAGCCCCTGGACTCCCCCCTCATCCTTCCTGGTAGTCTCCTCCAGGGCCCTGTTGCTTAGAATCAGGAGTCATTTGTGTGATTATTAATATCTGTGTTCCCAACACTGTGGTGGCAGGAACTGTGTCTGTTTTATTCTGGATCCCGGGATCCAACCCAGCCTGGCGTGTATTAAGTGCTCAGTAAAAATGTGTTGGATGAATGAATGAGGATATTCTTTGCCATAACTCAATGGATCCATTCTTCACTCTCCTCGTCCCTGTAGCAAAGGACTCTAGTTCTATTCTAGCTGGGCAAAGATCTAGTTGTGTGACCCTGGGTTTGTCACTTAAATTCTCAGTCCTCAGTTCTTTCATCTATAAACCCCCTGCTCCCAGCTAAGATAAAGCAGCATCGTGGGGCCTGCTGAGCTGTGAGGCCAAGCATGTGGGGTGAGCCCCAGCCTTCCCCTTCTCTGGCTGGCTCTGGCCTATAGCTCTCATCCTCCAAGAAGCCCTCCCTCCTTCCATTCCTTCCAGATCTGCCCTGTTTCCCCAGGATCCTGCAATAGGGACTCCTAGCCTGGGATCTCTGGGGATGATTATATAGAACTTCACACCACTTTCTATAGTTCACAAAACCTAACTCCAGTTCCACATTTTTTCTTAGCAAGTATCAAGCCAAGGTGATGACATCGGCAAGGCTATAGTTAGTAAAAACTGGAAAAACAACTTAGTTATTACTTAGTTCATCCGATTTATTTGGTAGGAACAATATTTCTGGATCTGGATCTGTGAAAGGGGAAAATGGTAAAAATGATCCTTCATGGGGAAAAGCGTGGAGACCCCTGCAAGAATGTATCTTCTCCTAGGTCACTGTCCTTTTCTTGGGTCCTTAGATGATGTGGAGACTGCTGTTTTCCCCCAGGAAGGTTGTGTCCCCTGGGGCTCCTGGGGGCAGTGTCCCCCCTCAGGGCCCCACAGCTGAGTAGGCATGTGGAGAAGATGGTTCTAAGAGTCCTCCTACCCCTCCCCGCCCCTTCCCAGCTCTGGTCCTGCAGGTTCTGCCCCTGGCTCAGTAGTCCTGGCCGCTCTTCTGCCCAGAAGCAGCTTCCTCTCTTGACACCAAATGCTGTGAGTGAAGGTGGAGTGAAGGGCTGGCACACCCTTCTGGAATCCCGATCCAGAAGTGGGCATGTGGTTGCTACTAGACTCCCAGTGACCTAAAGCTGCTTAGTGTGCCCCAGGACCCAAGCACAGGCAGGGCCTGTGTACCCACAGAGGGCAGGCAGGTGCAAAATACCTCACGCCAAGCGGGGGCTCGCCAGGGAATATTTTTTGATTTCCTCCTCATAGTTTCCCAAAGAGAGCAGCTCTGTGCCCAAGGCATTCCCAGAACTGGGAAGGGATGGGTGTGGGTGGAAGAACAGAGAGGTGTTCAGGTGCTGTCTTGCTGCAGGCTGCCAGACTTGTGGCCTTACGAGTCCTAGCAGGTCTTGGGCCGCCCTACGCCCACAGCCTTGGCTGCGCTCATGAGGACCCAGAGCCAGGTGTCCTGCATTCTCTGGGAGGTGGGACCTCTGGGCTCTCAGCTGCACTCGGGTGGGGTGAGGGCCATGGGTCTTTATTCCATGAAATTGCCAGAAGTGGTGGGATAGGTCTTGGGCTTCTGCAGAAGAGCCTTGTGTTGGTCAAGTGTCTCTGTGATCTTTTTCACAGAAAATCTGACTTTGCCTCTTCCCAGCTTACAGTCCTGGAAGAACTGGCCTCTGCCTGCATTTTTGCCGTGTCCCCCTCCATCACCCCTCCATGTGCTGTCACACTGGCTTCCTCCCGGTTCCTCTTTTCTGCCCCAGGGCCTTTGCACACCTTATTCTCTCTGCTTGCCATGCTCTCCTCTCTCCCTCTGAACTAAGCTGGCACCGATTTACATTTTGGGTCTCAGCTCAAATGTCACTTTGTCAAGGAAGTCTTCCCGGCTGCACCCTGAACTTCCCTGTAGCAGTTAGCACAATTATCATTACTTATCTATTTGTTGGATTATTAACTGAATGTCCGCAAACCCCCTCTTGTTTACAAGCTCTATAAAGGCAGTCTTGCTCACATTGGCATCCCTGGCCCTAGGACAGGGCCTGGCACAATCAACAGGAGCCCATGAGCTATTTGTTGAAAGAAGAAATGAGTGAATAAGGGAATGAATGGGTGAACTTTATCTTCCCAATCTCTCTTCAGTTGGGCCTCCTCCTCCACCCATGGCCCTTGCCTTGGTTCTGTCCCCATCGTCCCCTGCCTAGATGATCTTCAAAGCCTCCAACATCAGTTGTATGCCTCTTCCACCCCAAACTCTACATCAACCCAAGTCGTCTTTGCAAAATGAACATCTGTGTGTGCCTCCCCCTCTGGGTCCCTCCTGTCCACAGGATCAAGTCCAAGTCCCCTCAGCATGGCTTCAGAGGCCCTCCGTGGCCAGACGCCTGTCTGCCTTGCCAGCCTCGTCTCTCACCCGCCTCCTTGTTCCCAGTCCCATCACGCACCTTACTCTCACCATGTAAGCTGCCAGCAGATATTCAGATTTACTACACTCATTTGCAGCGTTTTACTTCACAAATGCTGTTCCCTCTGCCTGGGCATCTTTCTCCATCTTCTTCACCTGCTCAGGTGTAGACTCCTCCAGGAAGCCCCAACTCATCTGCATTCCCGTAGCACCTCGTGCTTTCCAGAATCTCAGCACTGGTCAGTGACCATCCTCCCATCTCTGTTCCCTACTGATCTCCGAGCATCTTGAGAGACATCTTTCATCTCTGGGTCCCCACACTTAGTAAATAGCTGGTGAGCAATAAATGTTTGTTGAATGAATACATGACTTATCCTTTGACTCATGCCCCCTCACCCATGTGCTCAATCCAAAGGGTCCTCCCGGGGGCTTCCCTGGTGGCGCAGTGGTTGAAAGTCCACCTGCCGATGCGGGGGACACGGGTTCGTGCCCCGATCTGGGAAGATCCCACATGCCGCTGAGCGGCTGGGCCCGTGAGCCATGGTTGCTGAGACTGCGTGTCCAGAGACCGTGCTCCGCAACAGGAGAGGCCACGACAGTGAGAGGCCCGTGTACCGCAAAAAAAAAAAAAAAAA